CAGAACACCTCTGTGCTCCTCAAGGCTGCTTGAGACGCGTCCAAAATGGTTGGTTCCAACTCCTAGGTCTCTCCCCCAGTTGCCTGTCTTCTCCTCTTTCCCTCACTCCTTCCCTCCCCCCCGTTCCCCCCCCCCCCCCCCCCCAGAGAGTGTCATGGAAACGAGGATGACGATGGCGGATGGCGTCATGACGTGGGGCGTCAGCACGGGTGCTTGAGATGAAACGCCTCTAAGTGGTTGCTTCCAGAGTTGACTTTTGAGTCGACTCAAAAGTCAGCACGGGTGCTTGAGATGAAACGCCTCTAAATGGTTGCTTCCAACCCCGTAGTTCTCTCCCTCACTCTCCTACCTGCTTTTCCGCCTCCTCCTGCCCCCCCCCTCCCCCGGAGAGCGACAAGGAGACGAGGATGACGACGGCGAATGGGATCATGACGTGGGGAGTCAACAAGGCTGCTTTCACCCTCTCATATCTGCCCCTTTCCTCTCCCACCCGCTCCTCGTCTGCCCCGTATAACAGGGAGCGACATGGAGACGAGGATGACGATGGCGAATGGGGTCATGACGTGGGGAGTCAACGAGGCTGCTTTCAACCGCTCATTTCTGCCTCGCTTTCCCTCACTCTCTCTCCCACCCGCTTGTCACTCCCCTCCCAGAGAGCGACATGGAGGCGAGGATGACGATGGCGGATGGGGTCATGACGTGGGGAGTCAACAAGGCTGCTCTCAGCCTCTAGTTTCTGTTCCTTTCCTCTCCCGCTCCTCCTCTGCCCCATGAAACCAGGGAGCGACATGGAGGCGAGGATGACGATGGCAGACGCGGTCATGACGTGGGGCGTCCGTTAACAAAGGAGCATATATCCGCTCATCCCTGCCCCCTTTCTCCCTCTCTTCCCTGTCTGCTCTATCCCTCTCCCCCCCTCCAGAGAGCGACATGGAGACGAGGATGACGATGGCGGACGGGGTCATGACGTGGGGAGTCAACAAGGCCCACCGCGTCTCCCTCGTGCAGTGCGGGGTGCTGCCCCCTCTCGTTGCCCTGCTCAACGACGGGCCCCCAGAGGGCAAGGCGGCCGCTGCTCGAGCCATAGAGCACCTCTCCCACACCGATCTCAACCGCATGGCTCTGGCCAAGGCGGGCGTGATCCCCGCGCTCGTTAAGGCCCTCGCTCGCGGGTCCGCTGAGGTGAAGAACGCCGCGCAGGCGACCCTGGCGAATCTGGCAATGGACGACCAGGATTTGGACGCGCTGGACGAGGACGGCACGGCCGTTAGATTGATCACGATGCTGCGGGCGGGCCCGCAGACGAACCGGGACTACGCGGTGAGAACGCTGGAGTGTATGGCGAAGGAGAGTAAGTCCATGCGGGCCGCGGTGATGGAGGATGACGGTGCGGTTACCGCTATTTTCGAGGTGTTACAGGAGAGCGCATCGCACTTTGCGGCGGGGAGCTTGCGGTCGTCGGCGCTGCTGCTGCTGGGGCATCTGTGCCAGGAGCACAACGCAGCAGAGATGATGTGCGCTCCCCCAGAGGTAGTCAAGACTCTCGCCACTCTCCTCGCTCGGCCGCTCCCTGGAGAGGAGCGGGAGGCGATAGTGATTGTGCTTGGGACCATGGCGGGGAACAAGCAGATGCGGCCGCTGGTGCGGGTAGAGGAGCAGGTGTTCACTCTCATGCAGAAGTTCCTGAATTTGAACCCAGGGGCGGGGCCCACCTCGTCGTCAGGTCCAGGGAGCTCCAATGCTGCGAGCTCGGCTCGGTTGCAGGAGGCGATCCTGTCTGGCTTGTCGAAGCTCGCGGATCCGGATGATATAGAAGCGCAGCAGATAGTGGCTCGTCTGGGGGTGATTCATTTGGCCGTGCATTATCTCAAGATGGGCCCTGATGTCATGCGAATCCCCTCTGCTGTCCTGCTAGGGAACCTCTCACATTCCACGCCGAAGCTGGTTGACCAAACCTCGCTCGACCGCAGGCTCGGCAAGGCCATGACCTGGAAGCTCAACTTCTCACGGTCCAACTCGCGAGCCTCGGCGAGCACCGGCGGGACAGGCTCGGGAGCCAGCCCTGTGACAACGGGAACAGACAAACTCCGATCCTGCAAGGTGCACGGCGGGAAATGCAGCCTGGAATCCACCTTCTGCCTGGTCGAAGGCGACATTGTCCCGATCCTACTAGAGCTGGTTCGGCGGAGCGAGGATCGGGTAGCCGAGGTCTGCCTAGCCTCGGTGGCGACCCTGTTAGCAGACGAAGGGGACCACGAGCGAGCAGCGGACCTCCTAGTCAAGCTAGACGTGATTGAAGCAGCAGCGGGGGTGGTGGGGCGGACCAAGGAGCTGACCAAGTGGGCGGTGTATATCCTGGAGAAGGTGTTTGCAATTAAGAAGTACCGCGCTCCCAAGTACTCGCAGCCGGCAGTGACGGCGCTGGGGCGGTTCATGACCACGGCCACGGGGCAGGGCAGGAAGACGGCCGCTGAGACGCTCATGCGGCTGAACATCCTGCCTAAAGGGTCGTTTGATCTGTGATGGGGTGGAGGAGGGGTGGGAGGGAAGAGGATGGAGGGGGGGTTGGAGAGTGGGGTGAAGAGGCAATTTTTGAGTTGACTTGAAAAATAATTTGTTGCTGGCGGGGGAAAGGTTGGGGATGAGGGGGTTGGAGGGGGGAAAGGAGGGGGGAAAGGAAGGGGTGAGGAGGCTGGACGGGGAAAGGGAAGGGCGGGGAACAGGGGAAAGGAGGAAGGAGTTATTTCAACTGACTGGGACGGCACTGGGGTGCTGGAGGTGAGGAGGCGGGAAAACGGGGATGGAGAGCGTGGTTGTGGAGGTAGGGGTGCAGGTGGGGTGGGGTGGGCGACATGAGGGAGAAGTGGCAGGAATGTTCATGGATGCCCCTGGGCTGGAAGGTGGCAGCAGGAGAGGAGAAGTGCTTCTGCTGAGTATGGACAGCAGGACCGCACAAGGCAGCACGGGCAGCAGAGGACCGCACAGGACTGCGTGCTCAGGAGGTTGTCAGAGGATAGACAGCACAGGGCAGTACGGGTAGCACGGGCCGCACAGGTCACACAGGCAGCACGGGGGGGCAAGGGCGGAATGGTTGTAGGAATCTGGGGCAAATGGAGGATGTTGGGGAGGGAACGAGGGGGTCTGGAATGGGGTAGGCTGACAGAGTGTGGAAAGGGAGCACCAGTGACAGTGCATCCGACTGAAAAACCTGCAGGGGTAGTAGCAGCAGCAGCAGCAGCAGTATCAGCAGCAACGCTATCAGTAACAGCAGTAGCAGCAACAGCATCGGCAGACAGTGGTGGTAGCAGCAATAGTGTCCCTGTCCATCTCCTAGTTGGCTCTGGTGCTGCTGCCACAATAGCACTTGGCTTCTTATCACTTCCTCTCCAAAACCCCATGACTGCACCCCACTTCTCTCTCTCCTCTTTCTCACAATCCTCACGCTCTCTGCTTCCCTCATACTGTACACCAACCGCCTTCATCAGCAGCATGCTTTGCACTTGCAGGCCCAGTCGTCTGTTACCCTTCCAATTCCCTTGCTTGACCCTCGGTAATTTATGCCCCTTGCTTAGGCTGTTGAGCTCTGCTCGTAAGGTTTTGTGATCTGCTCTTTCATTTTCTGGGCAGGCTGTAGCGCACTTGCTTTGTGGTGAGACATCCGCGATGGAAGTTTTCATAAGTAGGCGTTTAGAATGGGATTTGGTGGCTGGCTCAGGTTGCACCCTGATGTGCTGTTAGGCACAATCCTACCATGTGTAGGCTGGACCAAAGGAAACATTTGTCCTAACCTTGGCTCTGTTTAGTAAAGATAATTATTCGTAGAGATTGTACTGCAGCATTTTTTGCTTGTCGACCAAATATCTCGCGTTAGTAAAATGGACTCGCTTTCTCCTCTCGAGTTCGGAATTCAAAGAATTGGTAAGGGCGCGTGAGGTCTTTGAAATTTGTAAAAGTTTATGTTTTTAGGGCGAATTTTAGTTTCGAACATACAATGAAAGAAGTTCGAATTTCCTTCTATCGGAGTTCGAACATCGGGCTTACCACACTGTAAAAAATCACACACACATACAAGGTCGAACCCCGACATTCGAACTTGTAAAAACGAGCCGAGCCGCACGTCAACATCATAGGTTACCCGGTTCGCTCGTCTTGACGGTGCGCCACGTCAACATTTTGCGCCTCGGTTTACAAGGACCTAGAGCTCCAACTCACCTTCCGCGCCGAGTGTGTAACCAGGGTACAAATAGCCCCCGTGGCAACACCTTGTATACTCGTCATTCGCCCAACATGACAACCCTACAGCTGGTCCGCTTTCTCGGCATCTTATGGCAGGGGTACTTGCAGATGGTGATGCTTCCCGTTCTCAACGCTGTTGGCACGGCACTCCCCACGCTCGTCTCGGCCTTCACTCTCAGGCAGACCCGGGTGTTCGTGCTTGGCGACCGCCTTGACGCACGTGTGCGTTGGTTTCGACTGATAACATCCCTGCCCGATGACAATTTCTATGAGTATTTGCGGGTTGACAAACGCGTTTTCGTTTACTTAGTGCGCCAGTATCAGCGCAGCCGTTTCGCTACACTTAAGCATCCTATGCATAACTTTGTATTCGTCGCCATGGGACTTAGCAGGCTTGGGCATGGTCTCACATTTCGCGAAATTGGGCTTCACTTCGGCTACTCTTGGTCCCACGCCCACAAGCTGTTTGCGAGGTTCGTTTTTTTCGTCAACGAAGTCCTCCTGCCCAAGTGGGTCGTGTGGCCAGACATGGACATGATGCAGTTGTTCGAGACAGAGTTTCGCCTTCAAGCCGGAATACCTGGGGTGGTAGGCGCCATGGACGGGACCTACATACACTGCCGTGGCATGGGACCACATTGCGAAGACTTCAGAAATAGGAAAGGTTTCTTTTCTTTATTTGCCAACTAATCTGCGACAGTATGGGTCTCATCTGGGACTTTTTTGTAGGCTACCCCGGAAGCGTCAACGACGCTCGGGTTTTCATGAACAGCCCTGCAATAACTAAAATTGAAGAAGGAGGGATATTGGACTACACGCTAGTAGCGGATGCTGCCTATGGTTTGAGGCCCTACATCTACACACCGTATCGTGCCCTTCCCGGTCGCGCACTTCCCGACGAGCAGCGAGTCTGGAACCTCCAGCAGTCCCGCACTCGAATGATCGTGGAGCAGGTGAACGGGAGGCTGAAAACCAAATGGCGCATCCTGGACGGGCGCCTCGAGTGCGACGTCTTCCGCGCCCCACAGGTCGTCTCCGCCTGCATCGTGCTTCACAACATCGACCTCATCCTCGGCTTTCGTCACCGCCTGAACGAACCTTGTGAGCGCAACACTTGGTGGCTGGAAGGACCCGTTGCGGAAGCCCCGCATTTCTCGCCGCGCGATGCGGGCTTTACTCCGACTCGTCGTCGATCTCGCCTGGCGGCGTACTTCTACGCTTCCTGGAGGCTCGGGCATCCTGAGCTCTCTCAACCATCTCTTGGGTACGTTCTAAAAACTCATCGAATTGGTCCCGCATAGCCTCTTTTACCGATTGCGCAATTATCCCCGCTATTTCAGCACACAGCACTGAATCACTTGAGTTCATGTGGTTACCAACACCACCTCCCATTGTGTCGTTGCCCGAATGTTCCTCTTCGGCAGCCGCAGGCCCAGGCCGGCGGGAGACACCGCGGCCACGGAGCGCGACACCCGCGTTCGCGCCGACGACGCGTGAACGGGATGGAGATGCAGTGGCGGTGGCAGCGGCGGGGGACACGTCCTGCGCAAGCGCAGACGTAGACGGAGACGAAAACGGCTGGCGCGAAGGGGAGTGACCAGGCGAAGCCGTCACTCGGCGGGGATTGGGTGAGCGACGAGCCGACTGTGCTCGGCTTGCTGATGCCGCTACGCCATCGGGCCCTGCGGACACCGCTGATGCGGTGGTAGGAGACGCCACATCTGCCGGTGATGGGCGTCGCATAGGGGGGTGTTGGGTGGTTTCATTATTACATGGCACCTTGATGAATGGTTGTATTAGTATCATCAATCTTAAATTACGAGCAGTTAAAAATAAGGATCACATCAAACAGCAATCAACACTTACTAGGAATGGTACGAGCCGGGGGAGGAGGCGCGGTAGTAGTTGCGGGAAGCAAGGGGCCCGCGAGCGCCGGGGGACGCGCATTCGCCCGATCCCCTAGGAACCTGTCGAAAATGTCATAGAAAATAGGCATTTTCGGGGGCTTCCCCTTCCCTGAAGGTTTGAGCACTAAATCCGACACCTTCCGCCAGTGAGCCTCCATCCGGAAAACCTTGGCTTTCGTGGCTGCGAGACCATGGCGCCATCCGGGGTGACGAAGACGGACTTGCTCGTAGAGCATGACGTCCCAGTTCTGGCCTTGCAGGCGGCACAGATTCCGATATTGCTCGTCGAAGTCGTGGCGGATCCACGCCAGCTGCATGACTTCCGCCGGCTCCCACCCTTTTTTGTCGCTAGGCATCGCTGCATCTGCGTCGTCGTCAGCACCGTCTTTGCCATCGCGGTCGATTTCGCCTGCGTCGAAGTACGCGAGGGTGTCGTCGTATGCACCTAGAGGAGTGTTCGGGTTTGGTACACGCGCCACGATATCGTCCAGGTCGATAACTTCAAGGCGCCAGGAAGCGGCCGGATCAACGGCAGCACGCCGACGCCGCTGAGGTGCGGGTCCGCGGACCGGTGCAGCGACAGATGCGGGAGTAGAGGGTGCTGGAGTGGTAGCATCTGCCGGTGTGACAGAGCCATGGGCGCTAGTGTTGCCGTTTGTCATGTCGAGTGAACTTTGCGTAGACAGTACACAAGTGTTGAAGAAGGGTGGTATATTTGAATGTATCAAGTGCCTTCCACTCCCAGAGGATTTCAAAGACATTTGGTGCGGGGGACGTGGATTGGGTAAGGGCGGGAGTTTCTTTGACTGACGTCAAGACGGGCGGGACGCGTTGCCACATCGTGCTCGAACGTGCCACGATGCTGGACACGTGGCTACCACTGTGTGCACGAATTGTGGGGTGTCTTCGTTGTGCAACTTCATGCACTGGCGAAACGCTCGCCCGTTTCGCCAGCTGTTCGGACGTGCTGCAAATCACACACGCTCGCATGAACGTGCGCATGCACGTTCGCGCCTCCGACTCGAGTCAAGTTCATATTTCAAACTCGAACTTTTGCAGAGCCCATACAATGCTTGGTTCGCGAAGCACCCTTCGCGAAATTAGCGAATAGGGTAACAACCCAAAGTTAGAACTTAATTTTGAACTTCTAAACAGACCACACGCGCCCTAATGGTGGCGAGTGGTAATAGACTTCGCAAACAAGTAAAATCCGTTCGTCAGCTCGTTGCGAATCCGTCCCAGCCGCAACTCCCCAGGTTTCCCGCCCGTGAGCTCGGCATCTGACACCACCATTCCGCAGACTGCTTGCGACTGGCTTGTGCAGATTCAGGAAGATGACATCCTGTAGTTTCAAAGGGCTGCAACTGGGACCATCTTTTTGTTCTTTTTCTTTCAACTGCGCGTCTTTATCTTGATTAATCGCGTGCACTCACGTAGGTCTAGGAACGTCGCAGTTTACTAGTCTGCGGTCGCAATTTCCGAGCCTCCACGAATCGATTCCGAACGTAGTAGTCAGCACGCTTCTTATCTTATCTGTCGATTCTCCCTACTTCTATCATGTACGTACCTAGGAGTCCCCGGGTCGCGCCGGCGAGCTATAACATCTCCATGCGCAGAGCCCGCGGCGCGACTTACGTTCTCGCGGCTTTCTTCCTCGCGGCGTTCATCCTAATTTCCAAAGAGTCGCCACATACCAGGCGGCACCACCGCCACCGCCACGGCCGGCACCATCGCACTATAGACTTTGGCGAAGGGACTATATCGAAGCAGCGGTTCAATAAGATAATAAGCGGTGACGGAACTGGCTCGAGAATTGGAGATGCTGACGTGGCAGATGTTAAATTCCCGGAGTCTGCTGGGTTGAATGTGATGCCTGTACCGGAATCAACAGGGGATTCTAAACTGTCGTTTAATCCGATACCATCCACCCCGATACAAACATACCCGGCTGGTATAGTAACCGCTGATGAGAATGGGGGTGATTCTAACGGGATCGAATTCACTCGTTCCCGGTCGGAGGCTGAGACGGAGTCATCAGTTAGTGACGAGACGGTAACGGAGACGGTAACGGAAAAGGGGTCTGCTTTTACTCGGCCGGATTCTGAAGGGCAGTCTGTGGGTCGGTCAGAGCTGTTGCGGGCAGGGGGAGCGGGAGATGGGGGAGCGAAGGCGGAGGCGGAGGCGGAAACGGAAGCGGAAGCGGAAGCGGGGAAAGATGAGGCGGAAGAGGGGGAGACGGCGAGCGAGGAGGGACTGTTGAAGCAGAGAACGAGGAGGAAGGAAGCCAAGTCGAAGCTTCGTAGAGACACATACGAGGACGGCGATAACGAGAACGAGGAGGAGGGAGGGGAGGGAGCGAGGGGTAGTGCAGGAGGAAGAGAAAAAGTGGGTGTTAGTGCGAGGGGGGCGGATAGTGAAGATAGTGAGGAGGGTGAGAGTGAGGAAAGAGAGAGTGAGGAGGGGGGAAAGAGGAGGGCTGCAGATAAGAAGCGGCGAAGCGAAGGGTTTGATTATGACGATGGGGTGGAGCATGGTAGTGGCGGGGAGGGGAGTAAGAAGGCGAGGAAAGGGGGAAGCAGGGAAGGATTTGATTATGACGATGGGGTGGCGCATAAAGGCGGTGAGGAGGATGATGATGGTCGAGAGGAGAGGAGACGAGAGGAGGGGAGTAACGAGGAGGGGAGTAACGAGGAGGGGAGTAACGAGGAGGGGAGTAACAAGGAGGGGAGTAACGATGAGGGGAGTAACGAGGAGGGGAGTAACGAGGAGGGGAGTAACAAGGAGGGGAGTAAGGAGGAGAGGAAAGGGGGAAGCAGGGAGGGGTTTGATTATGACGATGGGGTGGGGGATGGGAGTGGTGATGGGAAGGGGAGTAAGAGGAATGGTGATGACGATGATGGTGATGGTGATAGTGGTGAGCTGGAGGAGAGAACGAAAGTAGAGGGTCAGAAGAGGATGAAGAGGAGTGCAGTGCGGTACGATGAGGAGGAGGAGGGTGAGGAGGGGGGGGGAGAAGAAGGGGTGGAGAGTGGGGGAGGGAAAGCGAAAGGGATGCTGAAGGGTGGTGAGAGTGACGTAGGTGCAAGGGAAGAGGAGGAGGGGGAGGAAGAGGAAAAGGGGAAGAGTTTGGAGTTGGCTCAAAAAGCACTTAAAACACATAAGGGTGGTGAGAGTGATGCTGGGGCAGAGGACGAGGAAGAGGAGGAGGGGGAGGAGGAAAGGACGAGGGAGGGTGTCAAGAAGGGGACTGGGAATGGTGCTTCTGCAGAGGGAAACGAGGAGGAGGAAGGACAGGAAAAATCACGGGAGCGGGAGGAGAAGGAGGAGGAGGAGGGGGATCAGGAGGGGGAGAGGGAGGTGCCAGCAAAGGCACGGAAGCGGCAGGAGGAGGAGGAGGAGAGGGAGGAGGAAGGAGAGGCGCCGGCACTGGTGGAGGAAGGAGAGGCGCCGGCACTGGTGGAGGAAGGAGAGGCGCCGGCACTGGTGCCGGTATATGAAACCATGCACGGCAGGGAGGTGGTATGGCAGGTGCCACGTGGCGACCTGCCACTGGCAGGAGTGGTGTTCTTCGCGCACGGGTGCACGCACCGAGCCACGCACTTCTGGCCGCCCCACCGCGCCTGCCCCTCCTGCCTGGGCCTGCCTGAAGACATGGCTCTCGTGCAGCATGCTCTCAAGAGACGCATGGCTGTTATCGCAATTTCCAGGTGTGCGTGCCATTCCCTCATGTCCTGGGTAGGCTGATTGCTTCTGGCCCACCCCCCTCACACACACTGCCCCTGCCCGTCCTACCTGGGCCTGCCTGAAGACATGGCTCTCGTGCAACATGCACTCAAGAGACGCATGGCTGTTATCGCAATTTCCAGGTGTGCGTGCCATTCCCTCATGTCCTGGGTAGGCTGATTGCTTCTGGCCCACCCCCCTCACACACACCGCCCCTGCCCGTCCTACCTGGGCCTGCCTGAAGACATGGCTCTCGTGCAACATGCACTCAAGAGACGCATGGCTGTTATCGCAATCTCCAGGTGGGCTTGTCAGTCTCTCATGTCTTGGGTGACTTTTGAGGCGCCTCAAAACTTATGAGGAGCCTCAAAACTTATGAGGAGCCTCAAAACTTATGAGGAGCCTCAAAACTTTTGAGGAGCCTCAAAACTTATGAGGAGCCTCAAAACTTATGAGGAGCCTCAAAACTTTTGAGGAGCCTCAAAACTTATGAGGAGCCTCAAAACTTTTGAGGAGCCTCAAAACTTTTGAGGAGCCTCAAAACTTTTGAGGAGCCTCAAAACTTATGAGGAGCCTCAAAAGTCGTCCAGGTGGGCTGGTCAGTCTCTCATGTCTTGGGTGGGCTGAGCTGCTTGCTTCTGGCCCTCACACCAACACCCGCCGCTCCCGCCCGTCCTGCCTGGGCCTGCCTGCCTGCCTGCCTGAAGACATGGCTCGCGTGCAACAAGCAGGCGCGCAGCTGTCATTGCTATTCCAAGCAGGCTATTTCCTCTGTGATCTAGGTTCTCTTCTCGGTACAGCACGGTTTTGTTTTGAGACGTCTCAAAACTTGACATTTCCTCAGAGATCCAGGTTCTCACCTGCCGGACTACCTGGAAGGAACCGCCCCTCACGCTCCCTCACCTTCCTCCCTCGCCCTCCCTTCCGGCCTTCCCCCCCTCCCCCACCCTCATCCCCCGGCCTTTCCACCTGTTGGGATACCTCCTTTCCACCCAGTCACTCCCTTGACATTCCCCCAGTCGTCCAGGTTCTCACCACCTGGCGCCAGAAACTGCTGCTCACTTTTCCCCACCTTTCCCCCTCACCCTCTCTGCCCCTCCCCTTCTGTCCGCTTTCCCCCCTTGCCCCTTCCCTCTCCATTCCCCACCCCCCCCCCCACCCCCCAGCCTTTCCACCTGCTGGGATACGTCCTTCCCACCAGATCGTTCTCTTGACATTCCCCCGGTCGTCCAGGTTCCCCTCAAGGTGACTTTTGAGTCGACTCAAAAGTCACCTCTTGACATTCCCTCCGTCGTCCAGGTTCTCACGACCTGGCGCCACTCACCTGGCGCCAGCAACACCAGCTGCCGCTCACTCTTCCCACCTTCCCCTCGCACCCTCCCTTCTCTCTCCCCTTCTTCCCCCACCCCCCAGCCTCTCCACCTGTTGGGATACCTCCTTCCCACCCGATCGCTCTCTGGACATTCCCCCAGTCGTCCAGGTTCTCACCACCTGCTATCTGCGATCGCCCCTCACTCTCTTCCACCTTCCTCCCTCCCTCCCTTCTTCTTTCCCCTCCCTTCCCCCAGCCTCTCCACCTGCTGGGATACGTCATTCCCACCCGATCGCTCTCTGGACATTCCCCCAGTCGTCCAGGTTCTCACCACCTGGCGCCAGCAACATCAATCCATTCTCCTCCCTCTTCCCCCCTCACCCCCTTTTTCTTTCCCCTTCCCCCGCCCTCTCCCAGCCTTTCCACCTGTTGGGATACGTCCTATCCTCCTGCCAGCTCCCTGGACATTCCCCCAGTCGTCCAGGTTCTCACCACCTGGCGCCAGCAGCATCAATTCAACACCCTCCCTCTCTTCGCCCTGGGGGCCTCTTCTGGGGGATACTTCATCTCGTTACTAGCACACTCCTTTGACCTGCAAGCCCTCGTTATAATCATCTCCAGTGGGGTCAAAAAGGCGTTTGACTCGCCGTTGCCCTCCGGGCGGCAGTTCCCGCCGACCCTCTTTGTCCACATGCCAAAAGACGAGCAGCGCGCCGAGGCGGTCGAACGGGCGGTCGAGATTCTCCAATCGAAAGGCTTCGAGGCTGGGCAGATCCCGTGCCTGGAGAAGAGGCTCGGGCCGAGCTTCCTGTCAGACCGGATACCGAACCTAACCCCGGCAGCTTCGGAGAGGATTTTCCAGGCGTTGAAGTGGGGAGGAGTGGTGGGGGAGGATGGGATGATGGTGAGGGATGGAAGACGGTCGGGATGGATTGCTGTGTTGCAGAAAGAGGGGGTGATGGAGGAACTAGAACGGGGGAGTAAGTACTCCGGGGCAGGGAAAGGAACAGGAGAAGGAGGAGGAGAGGGGGGTGAGGAGGAGGAAGGTGCAGGTGGAGGGGAGGAAAACGGTGAGAGTGGGGGGGGAGAAGGTGGGGGCGGAGAGGGTGGGGGCAGTGAGGTGATGGAGGGGGCGATAGAGGAGGAGTTGAACGTAGCATTTGCATTCCATGAGATGACGAGCGAGCACGGGCATGCCATGATGGACTGGTTTCTGGGGAAGTGTGGCGGCAGCAGCAGCAGCAGTGGGAGTGGCAGCAGCAGCAGCAGCAGCAGGAGCAGCAGCAGCAGCAGGAGCAGGAGCAGGAGCAGCAGCAGCGGTGGTCGTGGCCGTAAAGGCGGGAGTGACGGCGAAGGTGATAGTAACAGAAGAAGGCTGCGGGGTGCTGTTGGTGGTGGGCGAGGGGAGGAAGATGATGAGGAAGGTGCGGATGATAGGGGTGAGGGTGCACTTACCGGTAGGCCTGGTGTCCAAGCTACCAGCAGGAGTGGGCGGTGTGTGTATAACTAGCTAGCATAGGGTGTATGGTATATGGTATGACCCATTATAATATACCTATGGATGCTTTGCACCATTGCTATCTGCTTCAATACAGCTTAAACCGGTATCATGTAGAAAGTCTCCCTTTACCACACGCTACATACCCAGGTGAACACAGGGATTGAATTGATTTTTTAGGCGCCTCAAAAACACACTACATACCCAGGTAGACGCAAGTGGTTTCTGTTTGTAGCATAAATTATGTGGGTTTTGTTACTATCATTTAGCTTTTCTCTCTACACACATAAGTTTCCAGAACTCAACCACATGTCAATTACGGTATGTTTCTACCAAATCATAATTCACCCCAACTCTCCCGACCTACTGCAACGCATGAGGCTCCTTGTGCAACGAGTGTGCACTCTCTGCTCCATCCTTTTTGTTATTTCCTCCTTTCCATCTCTCCTTCTATCAGAGCATCAGAGCAGAACAAACACACCTTTGAAACAAAAGGGCATCATATGGCAATTACTCCACCGATTACGAGGGCAGCCCTTGGTGTCTCAACTCCAGTATGGTACGGTGCTTGGTCTTATGGGAATTCTGAAGAAACTTTTGAGTCGACTCAAAAGTCACCTCAGCCCTTGGTGTCTCAACTCCAGTATGGTACGGTACTTCGTCTTATGGGAATTCTGAAGAGACTTTTGAGTCAACTCAAAAGTCACCTCAGCCCTTGGTGTCTCAAATCCAGTATGGTACGGTACTTGGTCTTATGGGAATTTTGAAGAGTGATTCAGTCTTATGTATGCTGCAGCAACAGGTGCAATGCATGCAGCCCTAGGTGGTACCAGTAAATGCAGCTGCAGCGCGTGTGGGGGGTGCTGCTGCTCTCCACTCCCTTCGTTGCATCCTCTCGTGCTGTTGCAAGCAGCAGCTGCTGCAATGCAGCCCTAGGTGGTAAATGCAGCTGCAGCGCGTGTGGGGGGTGCTGCTGCTGTGCGCTCCCTTGCCCTGCCAGCCACACACAGAGAGAGTAACGCAGGGATGAGCAGAGAGGGGCAAAGGAATCAGTCACACGCATCAAAATAAAGCACGGCACGGCACGGAACGGCACGGCACGGCATGGCACGGCATGGCACGGCACGGCATGGCACGGCACGGCATGGCACGGCACGGCATGGCACGGCACGGCACGGCACGGCATGGCATGGCACGGCACGGCACGGCATGGCACGGCACGGCACGGCATGGCACGGCACGGCACGGCACGGCATGGCATGGCACGGCATGGCACGGCATGGCACGGCACGGCACGGAAGCCACCAAACCATGAATATATTTGAGCCAACTCACTGCAGCGCCATCATCTCTTGGAGCTCAATCATCTGCTCGCAAACCTAATCCGCTTACACCCAAACCCTAGAACAGCCAAGCACACAGCACAGCACAGCACAGTCAAAGAGTGACACAGCCAGACAACTCACTGCAGCGCCATCATCTCCTGAAACTCGATGATCTGCCCGCATGATGTTAAAGAGCAGTAAAGCACACAGCATACCACATTGTGAAACACACTGCAGCACAGCCAAACAGGCAACTCACTGCAGCGCCCTCAATTCTTGGAATTCGACGATCTGCCGGCGCAGGATGTTAAAGAGCAGTGGAGTCAAGTCAACCACACAGCAAACCCCATTGCAGAACACTGCAGCACAGTCAGACAGCCAAGCAGGAAACTCACTGCAGCGCCATCAATTCTTGAAACTCGATGATCTGCCCGCGCAGGATGTGGTTCGGTCGCAGCGTCTTGTCCACCACACAATGCTCACTGCACCCCTCACCACCGCTCCCAACCGCACTGCACCGGCCTTGGCCCATGCACTGGCCCCTGTGTTTGCAGCTGCAGCCGGCAAGGCATGAGGTGAAACAGCCCCCCTGAAAGGGTTCAGCAGTTGCAGCTGTCGCAAGAGCCGTAGGTGCAGCAGCAGACGTAGCAGCTGTGGCAGCTGTAGCATGTAAGGGAGGCAGCACTTTGCCTGTCATGGGGCTCGTGTCATGGTGCCTGCAGGTGGGGACGGGATTGAAAGACAAGATTTGTGTTTTAGACCTCTGTCTCTTTCCCTCACAGCCACAACCACAACCACAATTACAACCACAACCACAACTACAACCACAATTACAACCACAACCACAATTACAACCACAACCACAATTACAACCACAACCACAATTACAACCACAACCACAATTACAACCACAACCACAATTACAACCACAACCACAACCACAACCACAGCCACAGCCACACCCACGCCCTCATCCTCCCTCCCCTGTCTTTCCCCCAAACATTCACATGAGCCATTTCTCGATGGCAGCCCGTTCGTATGAGTGCCCATCGGCTGTGATCACTGGATCGCTCATAATCTCCTGCTATGCATGCTGCCCCTCCCTCCCTCCCTCCCTCCCTCCCTCCCAGCTTACACAAGCCTCCCATACACCCCCAGATGCATGCCATACACCCCCACACTCACATGAGCCACTTTTCAATCGCAGCCCGTTCGTAAGAGTGCCCGTCGGCCGTGATCACTGGATCACGCATGATCTCCTGCGTGATGCAATCCACGAAAGCGGGCGGCACGTCCTCGTCCCACATCTCCGCCATCCACGCCGCCCGCATCCCTCCGCCGCTCGCCCCGCCGCCCACCCCTCCTCTGCCGCCACCGATTGCTGCTCTAAACGCGTTACTCTTTAGCGCATCGCCGAACCCAGTCAAATCTTGGCCCCCAGCACTCCACGACCCAGGAAAACGAGGTGACTGCTGACTCGACTCAGAAGCCACCCCCCCTGCACTCCAGGACCCAGGGAAAGCATGCCTCGCTGCGTTAAAATTGTTCTTTGATCCGGTGAAACCGCTCCTCTCTACCGTCCCGACAGCAGTACTGGGCAGAGGAGCAGCAGGGGTGCTCAGATTGAGTGGGCTATTTGTCAGTGGCGCTGGGTCGACGGGTGTGGCGGGCACGAGAGTGGGTGAAAACCCCAGTGAGAAGGGCGAGGAGAAGGGGAGGGCGAAGGGATTGGCGAGGTAGGAATGAGGGGTGGTGGTGGTGGTGAGGGTGGTGGTGAGGGAAGCAGCAGAAGAGGAAGGAACAGGGGAGGAGGAAAGAGCGGAGGCGGGAAGAGGGGAGGAGGAGGGAAGAGCAGCGGAGGAGGCAGCAGCAAATGTAGGAGGTGTGGCGGCGAGCGCGTCTGAGAGGCGGAGGGACGAGCCCCACATCTGCCACTCCCTGCCACACGCTTCTGCCTCCTGCCCCCCCCGCTGCTGCTGCTGCTGCTGGTGTTGCTTGATAGGAGTGGTGAAGGAGGAAGATGGGAAGGAAGAGGTGGAGGGCAACGGGTCGCAGGCTAATCGTGGTGGCGACACTGACGTTGCAGCAGCAGCAGGGGCAGGGGCAGCAGCATCAGGGGCAGCAGCAGGGGCGGGATGAAGCAAGGGAGCAATGGCAGGGTACGACCATAGCGCCGTCCCTGTCACTTCAGACTCACCCGTCCCAGTGGAGGGTTCAGAGGCGGTTACAGACTCGGGAAACCTAGCACCACTGCCACTGCTGTCCCTGCTGCTGCTGCTGCTGCTACTGCTCCCACCACTGACACTGCCGAAGCTGCTCCTGCCACCACTGAAGCTGCTGCTGCTGCTGCCGCTGCTACAAGTGCCAATACCAGAATCCCACTGCGGCCATTCCTTCCCTGTCCAATCACCTAACCTGACAATGGAAGGTCCACCTTCCTTCCCCCCGGTCGTCACGCCACCCTGCTTGTCGTGCTCCCCGCTGCTTCTCCTGCTGCTGCTCTTTGCCACCTGGGAGAACGTGCGATTATCTCGAGTGGGCGGAGAGGCTTGTATCGGGGAAGGAGTGTACTCGTTAGAAGAGCGCGGCGGGGGCGCTGGGCACAAAATGGTTCCCTTATTCCGCGCGCCGCCACCGCCGCCGCCGCCGACGCTGCTGCTGCTGCCGCCGCCGGTAGTGGATCCGCTAGTGCTCCCCTTATTCCACACGCTGCTGCTGCTGCCGCTGCTGCTGCTGCTGCTGCTGCCGCTGCTGCTGCTGCTGCTGCTGCCTTTATTCTCGAAAGCCGCGGCCGACTTTTCAGGCGCCTCAAAACCCTTATCATCACAACTCGCGGGCAACCCACTCCGCACCTGCCCCTTCCCCAACACGCCCGCTTGCGCAGACCGCATGGGCGCTTCCGCCCTGCGCGCGCTGCTAATGGGCTGCCCCAAACTTTTTGTCTCCCCTGTAAGCGATTTAGCGCTCACTACGCTCTGGGACCGGCTTCCTTTGTAAGGGCAGTTCTCTTTATTCGTTACAGCCCGTCTCGTTATTGATGGTACCTCGACCGCTTTTCCGACAGTTGCAGGCTTTTTCCCGACAACCTCCCAGTTATTCGTACTCGCCCCCTCCGCCTGCTCCCGCGCCTTCCGCTGCGCGTCCACCATTTGCGCGATCTCCTCGCGCTGTTTCCGCTCCTCCGCCTCCGTCGCTTCCCGCTCCGCCCGCGTAAGCTTCCGCATCCCAATCATCTTGCGCCGAGCCCGCGCTGCCCTGTCCGCGCACGCTTCAGCGCTTGCGGAGGGGGAACCTCTGCGCACACCAGCTTCCGCCGTGCGCGGGCCTACGAACCGTCGACGGAACCATCCCGCGGCGGAGAAAAATAGCGCCATCGCCTGCAGAATAGCGCGCCAAACCGCCGCAATGGGGAGGAAAACGGCGGGGAAAACGATGTTGCGCAACCAGTGCCGGCTTCGGGCAGAGCGATCGTCGGCATTTTCAAGGGTCCTATCGGCATTCCCAAGGGTCCCCTGAATACTGCTAGTTTCGTGCGCGCTAGTGTTGTGTATGCTGCCCCCTACGTTGCCCCTGTCACTGCTACTACTGCTAATCTCTTCTTCGGTTGGTGGAAGTGAGAAATGCTGCTGCTCCTTTTGTTGCTCTTGTTGTTGCTTCTTCTCTTGCTGCTTCTCTTGCTGCTCTTGCTGCTGCCGGCGAGGGCTAGACTCCGCAACGCATGACTGTTGATGACTTTGATCTCGAACACTATCGGGACGGCTTGTATCGAGCAGATCGAGCACCGGACGGCGCGACACGTGTCCACAACCGGCACAGGTAAACCTCCCCGACGATGGCGACTGATCGCGATACGCAGTCATGCAGTTGCGACAGCGCCGCGTCGCCTCTTTTCGCAACCGAGCTTCTTTAATCCCCTTTTCGAGCCGCTGCTCCCTCCGCCGGTCTTCGCGCCGCTCGCGTCGCGCGTTGACGCGTGGAATCACCCACTCGTGCCAGATCACAGGACACGTCAGAAGCATCAGGACAAGAATGCGAGGAGTCAATACGCGAGGCGCGGTAAGGTCGAAGCGCCATTGCACAGGAAGCAGGAGCTCGTTAATCGCCCAGAAAGCGGCCAGCACGAGGAGGAAGGAGGGGAGCGCGAAAACGGTGTGCTTGAGCCATCGCGAGGCGGCACAAGCGACGCAGACGCTGAAGTTGGTGCTGCCGATAGAGGTGGAGAAAACGAACGCGTGGCGCTTGCAGCACATGAAGGAGCAGCCCGCCGCGAGTCGCGGCGGCGCTTCCGCGTCAGCTGGTGAGATCGTCATAGCGGATTCGACGTTGCATATGCAAGAAGGTCTACAACGAAGTGATAAGATAGAAAGAACCGTGCCTCGAGGAAAACGAGCCAAAGAAAGCTTCTGGAAGACAATACGCTTTCGGAGACGGCGGAGAGCTGGGAGGGGGGCGAAGGAGAGATGGGAGGGATGTGGAGGCGCAGAGGGGATAAGAGAAGAGAACCGAAGGTATGGTATGGAGGATCCGAGTCGAAATCTGGTGGTTTGGAGGTCCGGGAGAAAATGAAGGATTTGGGGCACATAGGTATGGTTGACACTGTATGGCGGTGGGGGGCAATAAGGGGATTCTTGATTTGAGTTGCGGCTCATGTTGCATTGGAGGTTGGAGCGTTTGCCAGGTTTGAACCACACAAGAACCTTCTTTACCGATATGTGTCCTTTGAGAACCTGAGCTGAATCCAAGGTACAAGAGTCCGAAGACCTTGCTGAATCGTACCAGAACCACATCCTGACCTGACCATGGGTTCGGTCAGAGGTTTTGTCTGGCATGTGCGAATACCGCACAACAGTGGATTGCAGCTGGCGTCAGGGAAGACAAATCCTGCGTCACTGCGGCGGGCTGTCAGCGTCAACTTGGGCATTTTTTGGCCCAGTCCGGCCAGACCGCAAGTAGCTGCGCGAATCGCGCGACCATTCGCTCTGGACAATGCAGAATATTAGCCACTTATCTAATGCCATCTCATATCCATGTTACGACTGACACCGACTGCACATCCGCACGACGAATTCTGGCCTCATCTGACCGTCCAAACGACCTGCAAAACTCGAGGTCGTAACGCGTTACGCGTACAATCTTTCAATTCCACGGGGTGAATCATGGTGGTGCGACGATTGAGATTCGTACGTTCTCGCATGTGCGAAGGTGGCGCTTTGCCTGAATCGTTTAGGGCAAGCCGCCGTCGCCTGTTTCCCATCGCCTCGCCTGTTGTTGCTGTGGTTTATAAGTGGGCATTTATATTAGCGGTAACAATCATGGAGCTCGATCGCATCCGAGATAAGCCACGTGTACATTTCGTAACAAAGGTATCGTGTCCTCGCCACTGTGGTAACCATAATGCCAAAATGGTCAATATTTTTGCCTGCATGGTAATGAACAGTGCATCCGGAATTCCTGGCTGGTAACTTCGCATTTCAACCAGACTGTACACCGTACAGGTAGGGTTTGACTCAGCGAAACGAAACTGTTTGTCCACGTATATACCAATAGAATGCGCAATTCTCTTGAGTGTACGAACACTTACAAATACAAAGCGTTACATGCACGTATGCGATACAATAATAGCAAACATCTTACAATCACTCTGTAAAAACAAAACAAAACGTCATAGGATCAGTTTCATGGTTCAAGTATATTAATGAAATCACACATAACATTCTACTGTAAGATTTAAATATGCATTGCAATATTTGTAACATATTCGTATAGTTTTGTTTATGCATTAAATGTATTTTTAAATGTAGAAATAATTAGTTGGTTTTTTATGCAAGTTTTAATACATGTAGAAATAAATATTTTGTTGTTCAAATTTATATTAGAATTGTTTTTAACTTGATCTAGATCCAATTGTAAAGATCCATAAGTAAAATTCTAGTAGAGTAAACTAATGTGTGCCACAATATTCATCACTATGATAGCTTTGCGGTTTGAAATTGTGTTTTTTTTTTGTGGCGCTTGTTTAACAGTTACTGTTTCAGTTTTAATTTTCTTAAAAAGATCACGTTTAGCAATAGCAATGTTTTATCGGTCGAGATTGTAAACGCCGCTACTATAAACAGAAATGCGCATTTTGTAGAATACACGTGGACAGTCAGTTTCGTTTCGCTGAGTCAAATCCTACTTGTACGCTGTACAGTCTGGTTGAAACGCGAAGTTACCAGCCCGGAATTCCGGATGCACTGTTCATTACCATGCAGGCAAAAATATTGACCATTTAGGCATGATAGTTATCACAGTGGCGAGGACACGATACCTTTGTTACGAAATGTACACGTGGCTTATCTCGGATGCGATCGAGCTCCATGATTGTTACCGCAAAGATAAATGCCCTTTATAAGTCTCTCCTTATCACATCGGCCCCGAAAACAATCTTAGCCATCTACAGAAAAAAACTATCAATGAAACATATATTACACTAGGGATAATGGAACACATTACTATGGCACAAGCCAGCCAGCATCTTACACCTCACTCTCCCAGGAGTAGGTAATAGCCCATGAGTATGGGAAAGGATATTAATGTTCCAAAGCAAACCCTGCAAGATGGGAGGTGAAGTCAAAGGTGGAGCACAGTGGCCAAGGGATATGGGATGAGAAAATATAATTGGAGCAAGTCAAGAGGTGTTTAGAATGCCCAAAAACACACTAGATGTTGAGTGGAAGAAACGGATGCATGCAACATATGTCATGAGCGCTGGAAACAAGGAACAGAAGGGTATGGGGGGGGGGGGTGGGGGGGGCATTTAATGACAGCCGTATACTGATTGTACTCATCATCTGGTCCCATGCATGGTACTGTGTGACTTATGATACTCAGGAACACAAATGTACCACATCCAAGGATAAGAGCATATTGTTGCAGCATACGTGCACACATATATTTGTGTATATATATATATATACATGCATACAAGTGTACTCACCCGGTGCTATGAATGGCAGTGTGGGACTTGTACTCGTTGGCCAGCACGAAAGTCACCACCCCCGGGGGTAATGCGGACTGAAGAAGGGAGGGGGAAGCCAATGGGTAATAGAACGGGGGCGACAAAGGGAAGACACGTGAGAGAAAAGGGGGAGACAAGGGGAGAGAAGGGCAATGAATAGCAGTGTGGGACTTGTACTCGTTGGCCAGCGCGAAGGTCACTACCCCTGGGGGCAGTGCGGACTGAGGGAGGGGGGAGACAACGGGGAAGAAATGGTGAAGACAAGGGCGAGACACGGGGATCGTAGGTGAGGGGTGATGTGGGCTGTGGGGGCAGCAGAAAGGCCACCATCCCTCGAGCCATAGCGGACTGACAGTGGGAGAAGTAGAATGTATGTAGGACTGGCTGAATGGTGGACTGGCGGTACGCAATGAACCCCCCCACCTGCATGGCAACTAGCTTAAAATTTTAATTTAGCCTTCCCCCCACCTGCATGGCAACTAGCTAAAAATAATAATTTAGCCTTCCCCCCACCTGCGTGGCAACTAGCTAAAAAAAAAAATTTAGCCTTCCCCCCACCTGCATGGCAACTAGTTCAAAACCAATGATCCTCCCCCCCACCCGCATACGAACCCCACCTGCATGGCAATGATTCGAAAGAGCTTGCCACGGATGCCAAAGAGGAAGGCGAAGAGAGCGGTGGTGAGCGGTGTGAGGGCGAATCGGAGGGCGAGCGACCACACAGTGTGCCACACCCCGCAGGTGAGCAGACTCTTTTGGCTGGCCATGAAGAGACCTGAAGGGGGAGAAGGTGACGGGGAGGAGGCGGGAGCGGGGCGAGAGTGGGGAGGAGAGAGGGAGGGATAGAGGCCAAAGTGGATGGTGGAAGACAGGGAGACAGAGAGAGAACAAGTTACCCAACTTGAAAATGAGAAACAACAACCCACGCTGAGCTGGCACTCACACAGGCTGAGCTGGCACTCATCCAGGGCTGAGCTGGCACTCACCCAGGCTGAGCTGGCACTCACCGAGGCTGAACATGGACACCCGTGCCTGCTATGATCTCGAGGGGATGGTGAGGCTGATCATGCCAGGGCGTGACTAGGCTGAACATGAGAAGCCACAGTGGCACTCACCGAGGCTGAGCATGAGAAGCCACAGTGGCACTCACCGAGGCTGAGCATGAGAAGCCACAGTGGCACTCACCGAGGCTGAGCATGAGAAGCCACAGTGGCACTCACCGAGGCTGAACATGAGAAGCCACAGTGGCACTCACCGAGGCTGAACATGAGAAGCCACAGTGGCACTCACCGAGGCTGAACATGGACATGCCAAGACCCGTGTCTGCTATGATCTTGACTGACGTGCGCAGCATCTCTGGGTAGCCGAATCCGCAGCTGGGGAGAGGGCGAGGGGGAGGGACATGCGGAGGGGAGGGGGAGGGACCAGAAGGGTTGTTGAGAGCAGGTGATGGGTGAAGGGAGAGAGGCACACACTCCGTGTCTGCTATGATCTTGACTGACGTGCGCAGCGTCTCTGGGTGGCCGAAGCCGCAGCTGGGGAGAGGGGGAGAGAGAGAAAAGCGAGAGGTGGATATAAGGTATACATAGAAGCACCAAGGAAGATGTGCGCGCGATACCCTTGGCGATATAACTACGGCAAGCGCTGCAGATGCATTGCACGAGCGACTCACACAGTGGGCACAGGGGATAGAGGGAGGGAGTGACTCACACAGTGGGCACAGGGGATAGAGGGAGGGAGTGACTCACACAGTGGGCACAGGGGATAGATCATAGAGGGAGGGAGCGACTCGCGCGTTGGACACGAGGGAGTAGTAGACAACCGCAATGAGGGCCGCATACTTGTTGGGGTTCCTCAACAGCTGGTGAGGAACCCCAATACTTGTTGTAGTTCCTCACCAGCTCCCGCCTCCTAAGGCACAAATGTCGAGAGCGATGTCTCAAAGCATTGACTCGTGCATTGGAGAGGACGAAGTGAACGACTCACGCGTTGGACACGAGGGAGTAGATAACCCCAATGAGAGCCGCGTAGTTGTAGGGATTCCTCACCAGCTTCTCTCAGAAAACACTATCTTCAAGTCAATTTCCAGATACGACTCACAAGCTGGACAGGAGGGAGGTAGAAACTCATGCGTTGGACACGAGGGAGTAGACAACCCCAATGAGTGCCGCGTAGTTGTTGGGGTTCCTCACCAGCTCCCGCCTCCTAAGGCACAGATGTTACTCACGCATTCTTTGATTCTCCTAGCAGCCACTCACGCATTGGACACGAGCGAGTAGATAACCCCAATGAGGGCCGCGTAGTTGTTGGGGTTCCTCACCAGCTTCGCCCACACCACCCACAGCACCGCCACCACCCTACTCCTCCTCCCCTTCCCCTTCCCTTTCCTCCTCCCCTTCCTCCACCACCCTCTCCCGCTCCCTCCTCCACCCTGCTTCTCAGCCTCCACCTCTTTACAGCAAGCCAATGATACCTCTGGCCCTACCGATGGCATCTCTGGTACTTGCCCTTGCACCTCTTCCTCCTCTTTCTTCTTCTGCCGCTGCTGCTGCTCCTTCACTACTGAACCTGTATCCGCATAACTGCCACCTCCATTTCTGAGGCTGGAGCTACCTTCTGCATCGCCCCCTCTATCCCAGGACTCCTCAAAAGGAGTGCTCTCAGGTATCGAGGGGCATCGACTGAGGCTGCCTGCCCGACCTAAGCTGCTGGCCCGGCCGAAGCTGCTCGGCCTTCCCACTCCTCCCACTGCATCTCCAGCAGCCAGCAGCCCTGCAGCAGTAGCAGCTACAGCTGCTCCAGCTGCTCCAGCTGCTCCAGCTGCTCCAGCTGCAGGTGCAGCAGCATCAGGGCTCACCTGGGCACCACCTGTTGGCTGGGATTCCTCTACCTCAATGCACACGCACGCCCCTTCCTCATTCCCCTCACTCCTCTGACCTTCCCCATTAGGCTGAGCCACGGACCCCTCAGAACTCAGTTTTGTAGCCCCACTAGACGCTCCAGACTCTGTCGGTGTTTCCACTGGCTCCTCTGATCTGGTACCGTCCACATCATATGTGCACCGTGTTGCACTGAAACCAACCACGGTGCTTCTACCACTAACGAATCCGTCACTAACTGATCTGTCACTGTCACTAACGGATCTACCACTACCAGAGCTGTCACTGACGGAGCTTGCGAGCGTGACTGTATTGAAGCCGCGGCTGTTGAACCAGCTGCCATTGAACGAGGAGCTGCGCAGCAGCATGCTCTCCAGGCGAGTCATGCGCCGCTGCTGCTGCTGTACCTGGCCATGGGACATAGAAGCACCGGCCTGTGCGTGAGAGACATCCACAGAGCTTGCTGGGCCGTTGGCAGTGCTGCTTGCCTGGTTATCAGTGCTGCCAGTGCCTGCAGTATCGGTGCTGTTCGAACGAGCGTGGGCGGGGGCGGAGGCGTCGTGCACGCGGCGAGTGCTCAGGGAGGTGGCTTGCTGGCAGGACAGGAGGAAGATGGTGAGCGGCATCCAGATGGCGGACTGTGATTGGTCCGACACAGGCATGGAGTGGGGTGGTGGGAAGTACAGTAAGAGAAAGGCGTCAACACAACTGCCTGCATTGATTCGCCCCGATGGAATCGCGAGCCCGGGCATATGAGAGATGGTGAGAGATGGTGAGAGATGGAGAGGTGTACGCATATGGCCTATTCCTCAGGCGCTCGAAACCCTAATATTTCAAGAATCCGCGACTCACCTGCAGCACCACGATCTGTGCCATGAGGTCCCCGGCCTCTTCCCCATACATGGCTGACAATAGTGGTACTCCTGTAGGGGGAAAGGGGAACATGCGGGGATGTGGGGGACATGCGGACGGGGCGGCTTGTACCCAGCACAGCACAGCACGAGCACTGCTGCAGCACCACTTGTGTCGTGGCATGAGGTGCTTGAATGGTGAGGAGCACACAAGTGGTGCAGCACGGATGAGGATGAGGTGACTTTTGAGTCGACTCAAAAGGCATGAGGTGCTTGAATGGTGAGGAGCACACAAGTGGTGCAGCGCGGATGAGGATGAGGTGACTTTTGAGTCGACTCAAAAGGCATGAGGTGCTTGAATGGTGAGGAGGAGCACACAAGTGGTGCAGCACGGATGAGGATGAGAAGGCAACAAGGACAACACGGGCGGACCAATGAGGAGGGTGTTGGGCATGGAGACACAATGAGCAGCGGGGCCGGTAACAGGATAGAGAGGTCGAGAGGAGGAAAGGGAGCCGGCATGATGAGGATGATAGTTTGTTTGGTATGACATGACAAGTGAGCGTGGACGGGAACAGGGGAACCAAAACGGACCAATGAGGAGGGTGTGGGGGCAACGAGACGAGCATGAAGAGCGATGGAGAGAGAGGAGGGAGTATGGAGAGAGAGGAGGGAGTATGGAGAGAGAGGAGGGAGTATGGAGAGAGAGGAGGGAGTATGGAGAGAGAGGAGGGAGTATGGAGAGAGAGGAGGGAGTATGGAGAGAGAGGAGGGAGTATGGAGAGAGAGGAGGGAGTATGGGGAGAGAGGAGGGAGTATGGAGAGAGAGGAGGGAGTATGGAGAGAGAGGAGGGAGTATGGAGAGAGAGCGTGCATGGGGGAAGGAAAGAAGGCCAGCACTGACTGATGATGAGGGTGTTGGGCAGGAAAACAAAGAGAGAGAGGGAGAGACAGCGAGCGAGTGAGAGGAGAGGGTATGGAGAGGGAGTGTGCATGGGGGAGGGAAGAAGGCCAGCACGCACCGATGATGAGTGTGTTGGGCATGGAGACGAGCATGAAGAGCGAGGCGGACTAGAGGAAGGCCCTGTGAACGGCGAGGTGGTGCTTGGCCGCCACTCGCAGCAGCAGGAAGCACACGACCACCAGCAGTGATGACGAGAGAAGAGCACTGACCGATGATAAGAGTGTTGGGCATGGAGACGAGCATGAACAGGGACGCGGACCAGAGGAAGGCTCTGTGCACGGCGAGGTGCTTGGCCGCCACTCGCAGCAGCAGGAAGAGCACCACGACTACTAGTACGAAGAGCTTCGCTGTGGAATCCGCGCCCAGGAAGAGGAAGTTCATCTTGAACATGTCCGTCTTGGCTATGGTCTGCGGGGAGGGGCAAGGGGTGGTGGGGGGTTGAGAACGATGCCAGGGGTGGAATATCAGCAGCAGGAAGAGGACCACCACGACTACCAGCACGAAGAGCTTGGCTGTGGAGTCGGCGCCAGGAACTGGAAGTTCATCTTGAACATGTCCGTCTTGGCTATGGTCTGGTGGGGTGGGGGCCCAGCCAGGATAGGGTTTTGAGAGCAGAGAAAGGTGCGTGCGGGAGGGAAGTCGGATGACAGCAGGAAGCACATCACATGGAGCTGCAGGAGAAGGAAGAGAGATTGGCTTCCGCGAGGGAGCGGAGCAGAGGCCACCACGGGTCATATGGGAGCCTTCCAGGTGCCGCAAAGTCGTCCCATCCCATCTCACGAGAAGAGAGTATGGATTCGCGACGTTTTGAGACGTCTCAAAACACTCCTTCTTTCACGTGGCTTCACCATCCCATCTCACGAGAAGAGAGTATGGATTCGCGACGGGAGCACGCGCGGACACAGGGATGGAACTCGATGAGGAGCGCGCACCTGGAAGACAAGCGAGGGGAGGGCGATGAAGGCGATGTAACGGTTGATTCCCGCGCACTGGTCGGTCGAGAGGATCTTGAAGACGCGCACTGACAGGAAGCCGGATCCGATGCCCACGTACAGCGGCACGATGGCGCAGAACACGCGGTACACATTTCCGCCGTCGATCATGGCTGCGTGACCAAGGAGATGCGAGCGATCGCTGCCGTCGATCGCGATGGTAAGGCGCTCGTGAAGGCGGTTACGAATGGCCTCCACGAGACTGGCTAACGATGGAATCTGGGTGATGGCTCATCATTGATCACACTTCTCACTGATCATTCATCAGGGTTCACCAACCATGCATCATACTACTATTCACGGCTCTGACGGCTACGGGCTGCGGCTCTGGCAGTTGTGGCTCGAAAGTTGAGTTCGCTGGGAGTCTGAAAGATCTACTCTGTGATCAACGCGAGTATCTTACAAGCTAACGGATTCGCACCTCCTTTACAAGGGAAGCCAAGGATCAGCGACTTAAATCATGTGAGAGCCCTAAAGCAGGAAACAAGGCGGGAGGCAAGGGAACTGGGATGAGCGCCGCCATATGTGTGCTGCGTCCAGCGATTCAGAGACTACTGTACATGGAGCCACGCGATTCCTACGAACTACATCTGATGGGTCACAAACTGACTGTACATCCGTGGATACGTAAAGCCATTGCTAGGCTATGCATTCGCTGCTAAAAGGCAACGCTTTCTGAGTAGTAGTTGCCGTAAAGTCGCAGCGAACCTGCGCGACCACTGGACGCGAACATAAGTCTTCGTACACGTGGCATGCAATGGCGGATGGTCCGTCATTAATCCCCAGCTAAATGGGAAGGTCCGTGCTGGCCACACAGCCCATGGGTTGTGCTGTAAAACCGTCAGCTGCTCGTGATTCGCTGAATGAACCCGCTGGAGGTGGAAGTTTCGCCAATGGAGTTGGAAGTTTCGCTACGTATAAGCAAAGTTTCGTCAGTTGAGCAGAGCTTTGCGGACGTCAGCAGTACCCATTGGGAAGGAGTGGTTCACAGCTGGTTTGGAAGCTCGAGATTTGGAAACCAATGGGCCATAGCTGGTTCATAAGGGCGCGTCAGATCCGTTACAAGGTGATTTGGCTGGAATATGGTCGACAATTTGGTCGACAATATCTTTCGCCAAAGTCGACAACATGGTCGACTTCAATAACGACCAATATCCGGCCACATTTACAGGGCTGAAAAATCTGACACATTTGGCGGCCGATTTGATGGCCGCTTTGCAAATGTGTCAGATTTGCAGTTCGCCAGGGTCGCCGGATTGTGCGACGGAATCGCAGATGCAGTACTTGTGTGACACGTTGCGTCGCACGAGTTGGCGACGTCGCGTAGTGACTGTAGCGATCTCAGGTCGACAAATTGGTCGACTTTCGAGTCGACTGCACGTCGGAACTTTGTCGAATGCTGAACCGGCCATCAAATTTTCTACAAATGGCCAGATTTGACGAACTCTCCGAAAATCTTTGCGGATGTCGCGAATGTGTCACCTTCGCTAATTCCGGCCGGCCGGTTTTTTCCGACAACAGATCTGACGCACCCTAACATCTTTCGGGGGATGCAGGATACTTCTGCATTTCCTTGCACCAAAGATACAGCTAACACAGTAACATCTTATCATGTTACGGGTGCAATGGATAGAAGTAGCGAGGATTGCACTAAGGTGTCAAACGAGTACAAAATGTGAGCGAAGGCATGAGCGAACATTTATACGCGAAACATGCAAACGGTAACGCGGTGCGTGCGAGCTAGCTAGTGCTACGCTAGAAGCAAGGCTCGGGCTAGTCCCGAAGCGTAGGCCGACACGGCCAGGCCAGCAGTGCGAGGTTTGGTAAAACAGTGCGCGCGAAGTCGACGAAGCCCCGTTAGCAGTAACGGGCGAACAACGGCTGTTGCTGTACGCGATGTAGTCGGGCTCCGTAAGGAATGTTGAGAGAACGAGCAAAACGAGGAGCACTAGCTAGGTAAGTCCTAGCTAGGCAAGAGAAGTTTAGGCAAAAGAGTGATGTTTCACTAGCAGCAATGGAGATACATATAGCAAACCCTAGCTGGGTTGTACCCGCTATAGAGCACCCCACTACAGGCTAGACAATAACATTCTGACACACCCCCATAGCCAAAGTGGGGTGTAATCAGCACAATGAGCAAGCAGGTATAGAGCAGGAGTTCATAATAGTAAGCAAAGCTAGAGTTAATCACAGCAGGCAAGTGAGGAGGAGGAGGAACTGTGGAGGGAGAGAAGATGGGAAGCAGCGACTGAAGCTGCAGAGGCACGGGCACAGGAGCGGCTGACTCAATGGCTACCGAAGCAAGGGCGACGGACTACTGGAGTGACTGGCTCCGCGGCTATAGACGAGCGGCAGGAGCAACGGACCCACTGGCGACTGGTGCAACAGGCTCATTGGCTACCGAAGCAAGGGCGACAGACTACAGGCGCTGCAGGCTACAAGACAGCTACCTTCACACAACCTCCTCCAACTGCCCCACACCCTCAACACACACCCTCTGCTCAAACCATAGCTCCACTCCCACGGCACCCCCCTTAAACCCTAAACCCCAGGCTCCCACACATCCAACCCCCTCAGCGACAGCTGCAGCAGTGGGAGACGAAGGAGGAGGAGGAGGAGGGGACGCCGCACACAACCGACACCCCCACAACCACCACCCCCACACCCCTCACCCCCAAACCCTAAAACGGGTGGGACGGGGCAGGAGCGCGGGGGACGGCGAGGGGGGACGGCGCGCGACCCCCAGGGCGCCAAAACGGACAGGCGGGACGGGGGGGGCGGCACGCGACCCCTAGGGCGCCGCGACGGATGGGCGGCGGGAGCACGCGGCTCCCCAGGGCGCCGCGACGGACGGGCGGGGGCCGCGCGTCCCCCCAGGGCGCCGAGACGAGCAGGGCGGGGGCCGCGCGTCCCCCCAGGGCGCCGCGACGAGCAGGGCGGGAGCCGCGCGTCCCCCCAGGGCGCCGCGACAAGCAGGGCGGGGGCCGCGGGCGCCGCGACGGGCAGGGCAGGGGCCGCGCGTCCCCACGGCATGAAACCGCTGCGCGCCTCGGGGCGCACGGCAGAAAGAAGGCGTCGCACGTCACGGGGCGTGCAACAGACAGAGTAGAAGCGGAAGAAGGTGGGCCCATAGGCCAGGAGCGTTTCTGCTCTGATAGCATGTTGAGAGAACGGGCAAAACGAGGAGCACTAGCTAGGTAAGTCCTAGCTAGGCAAGAGAAGTTTAGGCAAAAGAGTGGTGTCTCACTAGCAGTAATGGAGATACATGTAGCAAACCCTAGCTGGGTTGTACCCGCTATAGAGCACCCCACTACAGGCTAGACAATAACATTCTGACAAGGAATGCCGAGAAAATTCCTTACACTACCCCCCCCCTCGAGAAGCCCCCTCCGCTACGCGAGTGCGTGTATATCGCAGAATCCCCGGCTCCTCAGGTACACTTGCAGGGCAAGGTGGTTTTCGATGTTGGCCAGGGGCACCCACCTGTCCTCAGTTGGCGTACGATCCTTCCAGCGAACGAGGAATTCAATCCTCTTGATTCCTGTGGGGTGTCGAATCCGATGGCTCAGGATTTTTTCAGGCGTGATGATCGGCTCCGATGCAGGGCGAGTCATGGATGGCGGGCGGTGTGTCAGAACATATAGCTTACCTGTTTGTGTAGGCTACAGCGGGGTATCCCATAGGGGGTACAACCCACTTAGGGTTTGCTATTTGTACTTCTTTCAGACTTAGTCATTCTCATTCCTGTTTCATATTTTCACATGGTATAGAGCGGGTCCCTCCTAAGGACCGATTTTTTTTGGGCCCACCCACGAATTTCGCTCTGCCCGGAGCGCCCTACTCTCCCCGAGGCGCGCTCCCCCCCCCCTCCCCCCCCCCTTAGTGCGGTTCGCTCTGCCCGTGTGGGCCCCTGCGAGTCGCGCGCGCAAATTTTTTTTTTTAGCGCGCGCGGCTTGGCCCACGTCGCGCGGGCTCTACGGCTGCGCCGCGCCGCCCTTTCGGCCCGGCTGCGCCCCGCCGCCCTCGAACCGGCCACGCGGCCGCTTCGTCGCGGCCGCGGGCCCTGCTTTTGACGGCCCCGCCGTTCGGTTTTTGACGGCCCGGCCCGGCCGGCCCCGCCGCTACAACTCAGACGGCCCCGCCGCTACACCCCACGGCCCCGCCCGTCCCTGTCACGGCCCCGCCGCTACACCCCAACGGCCCCGCCCGTCCCTGACCCGGCCCCGCCGCTGCACCTCAGACGGCCCCGCCGCTGCGCCTTGACGGCCCCGCCGCTTCCTGTCCCGGCTCCGCCCGTCCCTGTCCCGGCCCCGCCGCTGCACCTCAGACGGCCCCGCCGCTGCACCTTGACGGCCCCGCCGCTTCCTGTCCCGGCCCCGCCCGTCCCAGTCTCGGCCCCGCCGCTGCACCCTGACGGCTCCGCCCGTCTCTTTCCCGGCCCCGCCGCTACACCTCTTACGGCCCCGCCGCTGCACATTGACGGCCCCGCCGCTGCAACCTGACGGCCCCGCCGTCCCACTTGACGGCCCCGCCGTCCTCTGTCCCGGCCCCGCTGCTGCACCCTGACGGCCCCGCCGTCCTCTGTCCCGGCCCCGCCGCTGCACCCTGACGGCCCTGCCGTCTCCTGTCCCGGCCCCGCCACGACACAGCAGCCGAGCCGCCCTGCAGCAGCCGAGCCGCCCTTCAGCCGCCGAGCCGCCCGGGAGCCGAGCCGCCCTGCACCCGAGCCGCCCTGTCGCCGAGCCGCCCGGGAGCCGAGCCGCCCTGCACCCGAGCCGCCCTGCTGCCGAGCCGCCCGGGAGCTGAGCCGCTGTGCACCCGAGCCGCCCGGTCGCCGTGCTGCCTGTCTGTCGAGCTACACGATCTGCCCCGCCCGGTGAGCACAGTCCCACTGTCACTGCTTGCTCTTCCCCTACTGCTTGCACTGCTTCGCTGTCGTCGCCATGGCCACCCCTAGTGTCCTAGCCTTTGACGCTGAGGGTCGTGCCATTGATTTCGAGGTCTGGCTAGATGACCTGCAACTGTTCTTACAGTGCGACAGAGCTGACGGCCTTTCTCTCTTTGACCTCACCTCTGGCGCCTCTCCTGCTCCTACTGCTGATGCTGATCCC